ACAGGAAACATTTCTCTTTAAGGCAACTAGAGCTCAGTTTTTAGTTGCTTTAATGTTTAACGTTAATAATATTTATGTCACTCAGCACAGAAACAGGAGAGGATTTAATGATACAAACAGGTTGTTCCACCCCTCGGTTTGTGGAGTCCTTCTTTGAATCCTCCAATTTGGCGTTATGGTCATCGCCATGACAGTTTGTCGGATCCAGCAGAGGTCACGTAATGCGAGTTGAGCTGCTCTCAATGGCTGCTCTTGGTTTGGAAACAATGGCGGCTCGCCTGGTCACACAGGATCTAGTATTCCAGATAAACAGTAAAATGTGTTTGTGAACAGATTTGAGGAGAGAAATAGTCAACAACAGGATCTGGATCCATATCTGATCAGCACTGTTTGACAGTTTGATCTGAGTTTGGTGCGTTGAGCTGGACGGACTCACTGAGAATGAGCTGTCAATCACAAGGTAGCCCCGCCCTAAAGCTTACCCTGCTTTATGGTCTGTTTTACTCTAAATGGGACCATCAGTTACTAAATGAACATCATGCTGTATGGAAGAAGACTGAAACTAGAGACTGAGACCAGAAACTCATCAGGAAACTGTTTACTGAGCTAATAAATCAACTGAGAAGTCGACTCATCTTTCTATAAGACTGAATGGTATCAGTTTATATTGCAACCAGTGGAGCTGCCCCCTGCTGGCCGTTATGTAGAATGCAGGTTTAAGACACTTCACAGATGTCCCCTATCGATATTTATTCTAATTTAAATCAAAATTTCTTCTTCTTCCACTTTAGTAAGTTGAAAAGCTGCTTAACTGAACTTGATATTACAGTAACCATGAGCCTCAGTGAGTGTTACCATGGAGAACCAGAACCATAAAATCAGAGTTCTTGAATATACAGAACCAAAACAACTTCATTTATTCTACATATACTTATTGATTCTTAAAAAGAATCAATGAGTGCGCTCTGATTGGACGGTTCTTACAGCAGTGCTCTCTGGGATTTGCAGTTGACTTACATTATAAAGCCGTTACATACATACATGTTCTCTGTCGGTGGTACATTGTGTTTATTCATTGAAAGGAGCTTAATTGGGACTCTGAAAGTAATTCTTACTCTCAGCCTGGAGGCACAGTGAAGGATCATTGGAGGTTTGGGGAGGACCAGAGGTCGAGTCCCTGCTGCAGGTCTGTAGAGTTCAGAAGTCCTGGAGATTATCGATGTGGTTCGGCAGAGAGGAGCAGACTGATTGAGAAGAGAGAGATCAATGAAACTGAGGTTATTTCTTTGTTGAGCAGAAAAATACAGAACGTCCTCATAACACAGATAATTACCCCGATGAATAACACAGATAATAACCCCGATAAATAACACAGATAATAACCTGAGCTTCTTAAAATAAAGCAGGTAAATACGATCAGCTGTCGACTAAATTAATCAATAAAATGAGAGATAATTAGGAAAGAAACTGGGCGGCGCTGATTGAAACGGATCAAACCAGGTCAGTCTTAACAAAGTGAATCCATGCAGGTCAACCACGCTGAGAGCACGGCTGCACAATTAATCTCAATATTAACCACAGTATACCACAATATGGAAAAAAGGTGCAATATGCAAATCGCAGAAGCTGCAATTTCCTTTGATAAAGATAAATCGTGACAAACAGCATTAAAGTGAAGCACTGCAGACATCCTGGTCTACAAATCTTCTTGTTTGTTGTCACATCATCATAATTTTAATAGTTTTTTCAGTGAAAATTAAATTTATGATGCAAAAAATGATCATTCCCACAATGATTGTGAACCACATCCCAATATCTGTCACAATAATTGCAATATGATGGTTTTGCCGCGTCGTGCCGCTCCAGCCGAGAGGAAAATAAATGGCAGAGGTGTAAATGTATCTGTAAGTTACATGTATAAATTCATTCATAATGATATGAGAAAACACATCTTACTGTAGGTGGACAATGATGTCATATTGTCATCTTCAATAAATCTTCACCAAATTTCAGGAGGTTTCTTCCATCCATCATCTTTAATTTAATTTATATATTTATTGTCAGTATGTATTAAACACTAATAAACAGGAATAAACTGAACTGTGGTGTTTCTGATGTAAAAGCTCAGCCGAGCTCTTCCTTGCTGACGAGTCAGAGAGGAACAAAGTGGACGGTTCTTGATGTGCAAATGTCAGAGATTATTACTTTAGGGCCTCGTTCTGAGCCACGTAATGATTCTAATAACTGAGAAGCACAATGAAAAATGTCAAACATAAAGTGCTTTTATGACTTTCGTGCCGAGTTGGTCAAAAAACATACAACGGCGAGTTGAGACGGAAGTGCTCACATTGAGGTGTCAGAGGAGTAATTATGGGAAAAGAAAAACTGCGTGGAAGATTATGGGAGCACAAATGTGTTTTTAGTGGAGATAAGTCATTGTTATAGTCCTCGCTGGGCCCATATAGCTGTAACATACACTTTAAATAGCTTTTCTTCCTCAGAGGAAACATGAATGTAATATAACATCACTCGAATTGTAGTCGGTATTTTCTTTTCCTTTGTTTGCTGAGTCTAAAGTTTTTTTTGTCTACAGCCACATTCAGGAGTCGTTTTCATTTTTCTTGTGACCAAATCTCCATTTAATGCTATTTTCTGCAGACAAAGTCCTTCACTGCTGCCCTCCTCTTCCTCTGGACTCACAACCGTCTGTATTTTTTTGCCCTTATTATTGCCTTTATTTGATAGTGACAGCTGAAGACAGACAGGAAAGTGGATAGAGAGAGTGGGGATGAAACGCAGCAAAGGGCCGCAGGTCGGATTCGAACCCTGGGCCGCTGCAGCAAGTACTCAGCCTCGGTACATGGGTCAAAGTCAATATTTTGATAAAGTCTCTCATTATAATAACTTACAGAATCCTTTTTTTAAATCACATTGGCAGAAATTAGCTTCTGTACCAACCTGATGCTGAATTTTCACTTAAAATAAATGATTTGAATAGTTCATTACAAGCTAAACTAAACTATGTTGTGCATGTAATATAATGTAAATTATTATCAAAACAAATAAGTAACAATTAAAAACCTAGTATGTTTCTGCTTTTCATTTTCAGTAAAACTTTAAAGCTAACGGTGTGTCGGAGAAAGGCAGAGCGTTTACTTTACATGTGTGATGTTCAATAGCAGGCGGGGTTCCGGTCCTTCTGGTTTTATGTCCGAACCTGTCGGATTAGGAACGGGTCCAATGGGGTTCGGGCAGAGAATCAAACCTCTAAAGATATTTTTCGGAGGCTTTTTTTTTTATGTCTTTATTTGACAGTTTTAAGACACACAGGATAGGCGGTGGAGCGAGAGAGAGGGGGGCTTGAGCCCAGGCCAGACCCCAGAATCAAACCTCTATCTGGAATCCCCCGGGTCAGTCCATCCGTCGCTCCGGTTCCTTTTACACTCACTCCTCTCTTAAGGGTTGAATGTGCCTCAGACAGGCACACAGAGCGGCCTTTGTGGGGCTTTCTTAGCCTCGCGTTGTGTTCAGCACTTGTAGCCCTTCCTCGAGCCGCTCTGACAACAAGATCAATGAGACGCGGTGAATGTCGCCCAGGATGCCATTTCGGTTCTAACCGGAGACATAAAAGAGCCCCCAGGCTGCCATATTGGCCCGAACACCCCCGCTGCTTACGGCTCTGCTTGCTTCCCGGCAAGCCCCCGCAGGGAAATCACCTTTCAAATAGTGAGACACTCATCTCCTGTGAAATATATATATGCAGCGTGAGGTAATGAAGAGGTGCATATGCGCGGTGGCATTTCTACCGCCGTCTGCAGACCTTCAGTACAAAGTAAAATATACTCCCCGGCGTCAGAGCTTTGATAGAGATGGATGGAGCCATTGTGGCTGTAATAAGATAAAGGTATTGCGTGTTGACATTTCTGTTACGGTGCAAGAGTCAGTTCTCAGAAGTACACAAGGAAAAAGAGGCTCAGGAGTCGCAGAATGTGAGTCGATTGCGTTTTTATTCTCCTGTTTTATGCTCCGCCGGCTGACAAACAACATACAGCGTGGACTGAAAGCAGCTTCACACAGTAAACAATCATAGACTCTCGTTCAGTGAGTTCGCATCTGAGGTTCAGGACCCCCACTTGGGGTCGCCAAAGCTTCATATGGGGGTACAAAGTAGGCCGATATAGCAGTATGTGGGTTCACTTCTGTGAAGAAAACTGTCTAATACAACAAAACCAGAAAATTAATTTAACTTATTAACTAATTGTTGAAACTGATTACATTTTTTAAGTTGAACTAACTTAACTTACATTATTGATCTAATAGCTTTAGTAATTTTAAGTGACACTGACTTCATTTTGTAATTTGTATTTGTCCTGTGAAAACAAAGTACGTAGTAAAAACTATTTAATCAGGAATGTTTCTGTAACTTGAACTTGAAATAACTGTAATAGCATTACAGTGAATGATGGTAAAGGGGACAAGAAAACACTGAATTTGTCAAAACAGAAGCCTTTTAAGTCTGTTTGATTGTTAAAATTATTAAAAATACATAACACAGACAGAGAAGTGTATAAAAAGTTCCATAAACAGGAAATAATCTGCTCAAAATTCATCCAAATCTCTCGTTTTACACAAACTTCCTGCAGTTATTGAGTTCACTGTTTGGGTTCATTGTACAGTTAGAATATAATATTAAATATCCATAAAATATGTCACTGAGTCAGTTTATTAATGATAGAAAAGGAAGAAAGATGTTGGTGACCAGCTTCATTCAGGTTGTCTGTTTTATTTTAAAAACTGTAGATTTGTGTTATTATCTGCAACAGTCGTCTGTGGAGTATATTTAAGTGACTGCTGTCTCAGAGGAGGACAGGAAACCTTGAAAGTGATGACTTAAATTCAGATCCACACCTCCACGTTTCTGAATGTCCCTTGTTCCCTCAGAGAGACTCCGACAGACTTAGAAGAAAAAGACTTGATGTGAATTTTATTTTGTGTTTCAGGTCTGGTGAAGCTGGGGATCCACTGTGTCACATGTCAGAAAGTTGCCATAAAGATTGTCAACAGGGAAAAGCTCAGCGAGTCGGTTCTCATGAAGGTAAGACGGTTTGAGTGCGATCAGTGTTTGTTTAACCTGTGAAACTCGATGCTGTAGGTGTCTAAAAAGCACAACGACTGAAGATTCAGCCCATTTGAGTTTTTATTATTATTGTATAATTTTTCTGTGGGGTATACAATAAGAGTTGTGAAATAATTGCCTAAAAATAAGTAATTTGATGGCCCCGAAACGCCCCTAGCAAGTTCCTTTCTTGGATCTCAGTATTTTGTAAAGCAGTGCTGCTGAGGTACTCCTAAAGAAGCTAAGAAAACAGCACAGCAAATGTTAAAAAGGATAAAAAACACCAAATAATGAAGGTTAGGATTGTGCTGAACTCAGTTACTGACACCTTTTTGGTCCAATTCAGGAGCTGGTTATTGTCAAAGTAGCTAAAACTATAACTTGTTGTCTATTTCTGGCTCCATGTAGATGTTTGATGTGTTTTTCTTCTTCCCGTAAATAAGAACAATATTTAGTATCTAATCTCTTCCAGAATATTTCCAGTAATTTGTGTGATAGAAGAAAATTTTTCAGTCACTCACATTCGCTCTCCACACCCACAAAGAGCAGGAAATAGACCAGAATGCAATGCAGGTACAGTTTTAAGTCTCAACCCCGCCGTCACTGTCGCACCCACACGCAGGGCAGCACAGAGCAGGTGGTTGGACGCTCTCCCGCTCTTTCATTATTATTGTCACCACTTCGCCGTCCGCCTACACCTTGAACAAACAGCTGGACACGGCTAAATTCAGGCAGGATGAGTCACATGTTCAGTGTGTCAGCTTCCACGAGGTTGACTCATGTTCGGCAGTCAACGTACATCCAGCTGGAAGTCTGCAGTGGAATATTTCTTTCTTCCTTTTGTTCAGCGGAGGTCATTTCTGACTCTGATCTTAGAGTATAAAAACATATTTCCTGACTCACACTCTGCTGGTATTGATTCAATCAGATATGTTTGGTTTTATTTACTGATATCTGTCAGTATATTACAGTCAGTTGAATTTTGCTTGTGGTGCTACAGTAAAAGTGTTCAGGCCTCACTGTCAACAGCATCCTGGAATACCTGGAAAATTAGAGTTTTCCAGTCATGGAAACACCTGGAAATTGCAAATCCATGTTTCCCTGGAAAGATTTTAACTGTGTTTTAACCCCTCTTTCAGATCATTTACGTAAACGAGGTTTGAACATTTTGTCAGGATGAGCTGCACGCTACGATACTTAGAAACGGGTTTACCAGACGTGGAGCCGAACATTGCGTCGTCGATGTTACAGTTAGAAGAAAAGATCTGCCACCTACATACCTGTAATTAACCTGAGACACTCCCAGTAAATGATACGACTGTTTGTGAGCGAGGGCCGTCCTGTAGTGTCAAGAAAACTCCTTGATTTCTTAAAAATAGTTGCCATCCTGCTTCAGTACTAACACATGCAATTGTACATGTATTAATATCATAATTATTCTATAACTTCTGGAAAAGACATGTTGATTGTTCAGTTTATTAGAGGCAGAAATCGGATATATCTAAAAACCTCGATAAATAAAAACAAAACTATCTGCGTGGCTCGAAAAGTTTCTTTTGCGTATTTTGGGTGAACAGACATAACTTAAAGGTTGTATATATGAAATTCACTGCCACTAGATGTCGCACTAGAGCTCCAGCATCACACACCAAAACAATGGGTGTTCCAGCCCACCAGACTCCATTTACTAAACCACTCGTTTTACCTTCAGATCATCATAACTTCATTCAAAGTGGAAAGAAACAGAATAAACCTCATTAAAAGCGTCTCTGTTAGTGTTTCCAACAATCACCAAGTCTGGTTTGGTGGAAATAAATCCTTAATTCACCGACATAGATGATAAAAACAGCAGTTTCAGTCGGAGCAGACCGGCTATGGAAACAAACCACAGAGAGGCTGCGATACAACACAGGCAGAGGGAGAGAGACGCCATGTGACTCTGTATCTTTATATAGAGAATAGCTGTTAGCTGATATATTAATGTTTAACATAAACATAAACGGGCTCAACCGTTTGCAGGAGTAGATTTTCCTCATGTTTTACTCCTCCTAATCCCTCCAGAAGCTCCAAGTTACAAGAGAAAGTCCTCATAAAGTCGTTTTCTGAAAAATACGACTTGGTGGAAAAGCAACACTTGTCTGATCTAAGTGATAGAAATCTAATTTCCTGGATTGTATTTGGCTCTTTCATAACATCTGAGTTTCTAAGTGCTGATTTGACAGCCTCCATTACAGTTTTCTGCTTTATTATATTCTCACACACACACACACACACACACACACACACACTCTTTATAGACTGTCAGAACATGTCTGTGTGTATAATTAGCAGTGTTTCGAGCTGGATTAATGTCATGTAAAGACATTTCAGACAAGACAGACTCAAGTGGTGTATTGAACAGCAGCCGACGCACTCACACACACGCACTCACACACACACACACACACACACACACACACACACACACACACACACACAATGAGGACAAACTATGTGTGTGTGTGTCTGTGTGTGAGTTAGTGTATATAAGGGTCTCAGGTACATTAGACCTGCTGTAATGATCAGCAGCAGCTAATTTTCCAGTGAGAAAGCCTGTGCGTCACACCTTTTTGGTTCTCTGTCCACATTAAGTACTCGGCAATTACTTCTGTGTGTGTGTGTGTATGTGTGTGTGTGTGTTGGCGGAGGTCATGTGACCGGGCCGTTTGCCGCTGCAGTCCTTGCTTTCTGCTGATAACCGTCCTTTCATCCTAATGAGCAGAGTGAGTGAGAGACCACCTCTCTCTCCTCGGCTAATGCTGGCGGTTAATTGGTTGTTAACGCCGCTGTAAGTGTGGGCGTGTGTGAGCGTAGGAGGCCGCTTTGATTGTCTGGTGCCATAACACCTCGTGAATGTTGTCAAGATAACTTAGAAGTTTCATGGCTGTGAAAGACATCAGTGACACCAAAAGGTCAGAGAGGAGAGCTCGTTGCTGATTGGTTTGCAGGGCTTCAAATCGCCGTAATCAGCGGGATGAATCTGAGCGCCTCGTTACCGACGCAGAGGTTAAGCAAGGCACCGGGTTGGACTGTAGTAGTCTGTTATACAGTTCATCAGTAATCACAAGCATTGTACTCACCAAAATTAAAGTCAACAGGGTGAAGAAACAACCAAAAACAAATAAATTATTAGTCAAACTGTTGGTTGTAAACATCCATCACAGTTTATAGATGCCCTTCCTGTAAGGTCCACTTTCTGGATTCAGAGTCACTCTGAAGACCCGACTGGTGGATTGCTCAAAGTGAAAGAGTTTAATTATCTCGGGATCTTGTTCACGAGTGGTGGTAAAATGGAGTTTGAGATGGTCAACAAAAATAAGCAATTTAATGTCAATAAATGGATCAAAATGAAGCCGAAAAAATGGCATCACGATGGCAATTTGTAAAAACTCTGAATTCAAACTTTGTCGGGTTTGTCAGCAAGACGACGAGCATACAACTTTTAAAACGCTTGTTTTCTGAATGGAGTATGAATCAATCGAGGCTACGAGAACTTATTTCAGAGTAACCAGATAGTTGGACGCACATTTTTAACAACTTTCCTCTCTTTCCTTTCTCTGAGTGATCTCCTTTTCTGTCTCTGTGTGAATATGAAGCATATATATATATATATATATATATATATATGATAGCATGTATCAAAGAGCTCCGTCAGAGATTAGGGTGTCGCTGCTCCTTTGCATCAGGAGCTGGTGGTGGTGGTTTGGGGCATCTGATTAGGATGTGGGAGACTTCCTTTGGAGGTTTTCAATTCAATTCAATTCAATTCAATTTTATTTGTATAGCGCCAATTCATAACAGAAGTTATCTCAGGACACTTTTCAAATAGAGCAGGTCTAGACCGAACTCTTTAAAACATTAATTACAGAGACCCAACAGTACCACCATGAGCAAGCACTTGGCGACAAGGGCAAGGAAAAACTGCCTGTTAAAAGGCAGAAACCTAGGACAGATCCTCCGGCTCTAGGTGGGTGGTCGTCTGTCTCGACCAGTTGGGGTGAGAGAGAGGCAGAGAGAGAGAGAGCGAGAGACAGACAGACAGGTGCACAGCAACAACAGTATTAGCAATGGCAATCTAGCAGGACCATGGCAGGAGGCTCCACCAGGATCGACAAGAACCTGCGAGACGAGAAAGCACAAGAACTCCGGGGAAGAAGTGAAGTTAGTAACATGCATTAATGGAACATGAATGAGTGCAGAAAGAGAGAGGAAGGGAGGAGCTCAGTGCACCATGGGAAATCCCCCGATAGTCTAGGCCTATAGCAGCATAACTAAGGGATGGTTCAGGACTCACCTGATCCAGCCCTAACTATAAGCTTTATCAAAGAGGAATGTCTTAAGCCTACTCTTGAATGTGGTGAGGGTGTCTGCCTCCCGAACCACAACTGGAAGCTGGTTCCAGAGGAGAGGAGCTTGGTAACTGAAGGCTCTGGCTCCTGTTCTACTTTTAGAGACTATAGGAACCACAAGTAGCCCAGCATTCAGAGAACTTAGTGTTCTAGAGGGGTAATAGGGTACTATGAGCTCTTTAAGATATGAAGGGGCCTGACCATGAAGAGCTTTATAGGTGAGGAGGAGGATTTTAAATTCTATTCTACATTTTACAGGGAGCCAATGTAGAGAAGCTAGTACAGGAGAGATGTGATCTCTTTTTCTAGTTCCTGTCAGTACTCGTGCTGCAGCGTTCTGAATTAATTGGAGCATTTTAATGGACTTATTGGGGCAACCTGATAATAAAGAGTTGCAGTAATCAAGCCTTGAAGTAACAAATGCATGGATTAGTTTTTCTGCATCTGTCTGTGATAGGATGTGTCTGTGTCTAATTTTTCTAATATTACATAAATGAAATAAGGCAGTCCTAGAGGTCTGCTTTATGTGGGAGTTAAATGACAAATCCTGATCAAAGATAACTCCAAGATTCCTGACAGTGGTGCTAGAGG